ACCATAGCAAATAAATTCATGTCAGACGCATCTGACAATGTAGGTATGCTAACACCATAGAACCGTGATTTCAGGGAAACCAGAAACAACAGTAGTAGAAGTAGTAGAAATAGCCAAGAGATCTGGCTTTCAAAAAAAATAAAGCGCAGATATCATATACTACGAAACAACAGGTACAAAAGCATTCGCTCTTAAGCGATAGCCCACGATGGAAAAGAACGCACGAACAGGGGCGGGAGCACCATATTCAATGTGCACTATTGCAACATTGTTTATGCCAATGCAAAAATATGGGGGATTTCGATTATTTGGATCTAGTTTGACTAATGTTACTCTGAATAATAAGCACTCTATCATAAGGTACAAAAAATGACTGACCGGTCATACCTTTCGAAAGACGAACGACTCCTCGTTGTACACTGGATTAAGGCCGTTTGCAGGAACCATCTTCGTCCTGAACTCTTTCCTGATCGTGTCTGTTGGCAGTCCGTACATCTCCACTTCAACGAACGTGCCGATCTTACGATCCGACAAGAACTGTCCGGAGATGATCTGCAGCAACATCAGAATACACGGTACCGAAATATGCAAAAGAAACGTGACCTACCCTGACCGAGCAGTAGGCAGCTATCACACCGTCGACGGGAGATTCCGAAAAGGGATCGAAATTCCGATTAGGACGACGCATGAAATCCGGCTTCAGCAGATAGCTACGAAAGCAAGCAAATGTCGAAGCCGACATCATTCAATAAAACACAACTTACCCACAGTTTCCGTTATATTCGAATCTTCCTTGATTCAGCTGCATCGCAAGATCCGGTGTCTGAAAATTGAGCGCCACCATCTGAACGCCTGCGTTCCAGAATATCTGAGGTAAGAAATTGCTCGAGTCTACGCGGCCGCCCTTTGGGTATATCCGGCTAAGCTGGCGCTTGTTGTAACTAGGAAAAACTTCGTTGCACAGGTCGGCTGGTCAGATGCGAACCACGGAAATGAACTTACTTGACGAACTCAATGGCGCTTTGTTTCAAATATCCCAAAGCTGTACTTTCCGAAAACGAAGACATGTGAAAATGCATGTTGGTCTCTAAAAAAGATCAGCGATTCATTTTCGAAGACCGTTATTTATTTCAGATTACAGGAAACAGC